GTTATTCTCTGTGCTATTAATACAGCAACTCAGCAGGTACTGATTCAGCACCCACACTACCCTATCCTGCTAATGAAGAATTTCCACTGATAAAGTACTTTCAGTTCATACAGCCCAACCAGAACATAAGCTCCTTGAAGGCAGGGACTAAGTGGCACCATCATGATCACCTCTTATAGCACTTAGCGATTTTCAAAGGTCTTCACATTCATAATCTCATTTGAGCCTGAGACCACTGTGAGAGGCAGTGTGGATAGATGATGGTGATGGTGGTGGTGATGATGATGATAGCAGCATACATTATCTTCTGAGTGCCCACTGTGAGCTGCCGTTGAGACAGGCAGCCACCGCATCTCATTCAATCTCAGGACAGCCTGAGGTGGGCCATATTTTTGGTCCATATAACCAAAGGAGAAACTGAGGTTTAGGGAGGTCCACTGACCACCCAAACTCTCAGTCCATTTGGGGCAGAGGTGGCTGCAGCCCAGCTCCATGCAGAGGTCAGGCCTGTCCCCATTCCTCTCTCATTGGACGGAGTCCAAATGACATCATGGCAAGCACAGGACCTCCGTGGACCCAGCATGCCTTCACACTTCTCTCTATGGGCGCCCTACAAGGCGCACATCTAACTTGAACTCCAGTCTGGGCAAAAGAGAGCCAACACAGACTAAACATTTTCTGCACACCCACGCTGGTGCCAGGCCCTGCCCCAAGGAACAGAGTGACAAGCAGAAAAGTGTCCATTGAGGAGCTCAGCCCGAGTTTGACAGCTTTAGCGTGGTCTCAACACCGAGCCCACAGCAGCCCTCAAGCCCTCACTAAAGGAGCTCCTAGCTCAGTGGGGGAGCAAGATGGTTAATTCTAATCCAGGGTCAGGAGTGCTATGATGGAGGGAAGCCCAGGGGCTTCTGGGAGCAGAGCAGGTCCTTAACGCATTCACGTGCACATACACGAGTGTAAGTGGAGGTATCAAGGAAGGCTTCCTGGAGGAGGCAAATGATTAGGAACTAGCCAGGTCACAAAGGGAGGGGAAGGAGCTCCAGGCATGGGAGAAGCCCGAGCTGGGGCTCCGGAACACAGAACAGCCTGGCATGTGGATGTGTGGCCAGGACCCAATGCTGCTCAGGGGTTTAGGAGGTAAAGGCAGGACCGGAGCGAGGCTGGAGAGCACGGGAGGCCTGGACCAGAAGGGCCCTGGCAGTTCTGAAGCACATCCACACGTCTCATCCACTTGCAACCTCACACCCCGCAGGGCAATATGACTGCCTGCTAACAGATGAGGAGAGGAGGCCCGCCAGTCAGGGGACGGCAGACCTGGGCTTGGGACCAGGAGTCTGACTGCCAACCAGGGACACAGGCAGACGGGGGAGCTAAAAGAGGACTCTGAAGGTAGGAGACAAAGGGTGAGCCCTCCTGCGTGGAGGAGAGGACCCAAGAAGCTGGGCCATGGGGAGGAGCAGGCAGGTCAGTGGCTTAAGTAGGCAGAGACGCAGGTGGCGAATGCCCAGTGGCAGGAGAAAACAAAAAAACCAAACGCGTTGCCGTCGAGTCGATTCCGACTCACAGTGACCCTATAGGACAGAGCAGAATTGCCCCACGGGGTTTCCAAGGAGCGAATGGTGGATTCAAACTGCTAACCTTTTGGTTAGCAGCTGAGCTCTTAAGCACTGTGCCACCAGGGCTCCAGTGGCAGAAGAGAAGGGACCAATATATACTGGAGTGCTGGGGCAGGGCTAAATCCCGGCACCACAGACCACAGACAATGGGGAGCAGGCTGGTTCGTTACACTGGAAAGGGAGCCAGCGATGGGCTGAGAGGGGCCGAGAGGTCGGTCACCCAGGAGACCCCCTCCAGGGGGTTCCTACAGACGCCACCTGAAAACCAGGGCCATGGTGAGCCCAGCCCTGTGGCGGGGGATGTAGTCCCCAGCGGGGTGCAGCAGGAGCAAGGCTGCAGACCACTGAGGGAGTCCACCTCGTCCACCCTAAAGATGTCAGGAGAAGGAACCCTGAGGTCCCAGAGGACAGTGACTGCCTGCCCCAGGTCACAGGGCAGTTGGGACTCAACAGCAGGGACTCAAACCCAGACCTCCTCCTCCCAAAGTCCCCCGCTCTGGCCCCAGGCGTTGGCCACTGGCAGATACCAATGGGCCATGTGTACAGCTAGACCCCGACTCTCCAAGCCTTGGGCCGGAAGTCTAGTCTCTAGGTGGTATCCCCCTCCCTGCAGGTCCCCAAGAAGCTCACGTGTATGAGGAGGACCACACAGGGCTGTGGGAAGCGGTCACTCCCCTTCTAGAAGCCGTTCCTGCTTGTCTGCTGGGACACGTGTTAAAATACAGACCCCCCCCCCCACTGCCTCTCCCCAGACCTCACTAACCAATCCCCAACCAGAAAGCCTGGGAGTCTGCATTTGACACAGCACCAGCGGTCCAAGCCACACTTGGAGAAACACCACTTGGGGAATCCCTGAGAACACAGACATCAAAATCTCAGATGCTTCCTGGGACTTTGCAGTTTGGGGCCCAAAGACCTCTGTTTCCATGTGGCTACCAGGTTGCTGCCTGGTCCCCACCCTGCTGCTGCCCAGTCCCGACCCTGTTGCTGGCTGGTCGCCACCCTGCTGCTGCCTGGTCCCCTGCTGCTGTCCCCTGTCCCCTGCTGCTGTCCCTCTCCCCTGCTGCTGCCCCTCTTCCCTGATGCTGTCCCCTCTCCCCTGCTGCTGCCCCTCTCCCCTGCTGTCCCCCTCCCCTGCTGCTGTCCCCTCTCCCCTGCTGTCCATCTCCCCTGCTGTCCCTCTCCCCTGCTTCCTCTCTCCCCTGCTGCTGCCCCTCTCCCCTGCTGCTGCCCCTCTCCCCTGCTGCCGTCCCTCTTCCCTGCAGTCCCCTCTCCCCTGCTGCTGTCCCTCTCCCCTGCTGCCCCCTCTCCCCTGCTGCTGTCCCTCTCCCCTGCTGTCCCCTCTCCCCTGCTGCTGTCCCTCTCCCCTGCTGCTGTCCCCTCTCCCCTTCTGCTGTCACCTCTCCCCTGCTGCTGTCCCCTCTCCCCTGCTGCTGTCCCTCTCCCTTGCTGCTGCCCCCTCCCCTGCTGTCCCCTCTCCCCTGCTGCTGTCCCTCTCCCTTGCTGTCCCTCTCCCCTGCTGCTGCCCCTCTCCCCTGCTTCTGTCCCTCTCCCCTGCTGCTGTCCCCTCTCCCCTGTTGCTGTCCCTCTCCCCTGCTGTCCCCTCTCACCTGCTGCTGTCCCCTCTCCTCTGCTGCTTTCCCTCTCCCCTGCTGCTGTCCCTCTCCCCTGCTGCTGTCCCCTCTACCCTGGTGGCCTCTTTGGGCTCTCAGGCCAGCAGGGGAAAGCCTCCCAATGCTCCTGTTTCTGAAGGGTCCCCAAGGGCAGTTGGCCGCTGGTGACCCAGTCCTGGCTTGCCACCACCACCCTCCCCTGCCAGGGTACCAAGCCTGCCGGGCAGGGCACAATGTCCAAAAATGGTCGCACACATCCTCACACGTGCCACTTGGAACCATGGAGCCAACTTCCAGGCGCTGCCAGTGGCCCGGATCATCCCGGCCCACCAGGCTTCTTGCTCATGACCTGCTGTATCTGCCTGCAGCCTGGCCCCCTTCCAGAGGGCTGTAGGCAGGCGCCAGCTCCCCCTCTGGCCTCTGGACCCTACACAAGGCCAGGGATGTGGCCCAGCCTGGCATGAGCCAGGGCGATGGTGTCTGCCCAGTGCTGGGCTCCAAGCCGAGGCTCCGTAACTGAGACGGATAAACAAACGCCAGCACCCAGGGAGGGGCAGCTGCATCTCCTACGCGACTTCAGCTCCTTTAAAGCCAGATACAAGGAGCGCTGGGGGCGCAACAGTTAAGCTCTCGGCTGCGAACCGAAAGGTCGGCGATTTGCACCCACCCAGCAGCTCCTCAGGAGAAAGACCTGGTGGTCTGCTCCCGTAAAGATTACAGCCCAGAAAACCCTCTGGGGCAGTTGAACTCGCCCCATGGGGTCGCTGAGCCGAAATCATCACCCTACAACAATAGTAACAACAAACCCTTATAGAGAAAGAATAGGTAGTCATCTTGCTCCCACGGGCCGTTTTCCTAGCACAAATCTCACACTTTGAAAAACTCAGGGCTTGGGAGAGGAAATCGAGAATCCAGAGAGCCGCGGCGTGGGAATTAGGACACCTGGGTTTCCGTCCTTGCCCCTCTGCAAGCCTCAGTTTTCCTCTTCTACAAAATGGGGACTTACAGGGAAGACCTGGATCAGTGATACTCATCCAGGGGCGCACAGGAGTCACTGAGAGAGCTGTCTACAGCCCCAGGTAGTCGGAAGAGCTCACAGATCAGCGCGGGAGGAATGCGCCCGGAGGCGCTGTCTGGCGTGGAGAGTTCTGGCTCCACCCCCAGCCAGCCGACGCTGCTCCGCTCTCGGACTTTCCGCCGCCAGGGAGGCAGGTTCTCACGCCAGACGGTCAGACCAGCCCCCCAGGTGTAGGGAAAGAAGGTTGGATAGACGGAAGGCGCAAATCCATGTGTCTCTGCGCATGCTCTGGCGCTGGAGACCGGAGGCCTGGGCCAGCCGCACAAAGGCCGTGGCCGGCCACTGATCTGGTCCTCTGGGGGGCTACAGGCTGAGCAGGGGGTTTCGGCTTTGAAGTTAGGGACCTCAGGGGGGTCACGCCAGACCTTTCTCATCATTACGTCCAGCTGGGGACAGATGCACAAATATATCATTCAATGCTTCAATCCGATTGCTTTAAAAAAAAATCCCAGACCTCTCAAACCCAGGTGAGCGGGGCACCCGGTGACTACCTCCCGCCCTCCAGGAAGCAGCCTGTGTTCCCGGGAAGCCCGCAGTCCCCTCCCAGGGCTGAGGGAGGCTGTGCTGCGGGCTTTCTCGGCAGAGCTGGAGACGCAGCCCCTGCTGGCGCTAACTGGGGCAGGGCTGCCCCGGTGTCTGGCGAGCCGGGCGGGCGTCTGGGGAGCGGGGCGGGGCGGGCGGGGCTGACCTCACCTTCACACTGCCTGCCTTCCCCCTTGTAACCTGGCTTGCACAGGCACTTGTAGGACTTGGGCGTGTTCTGGCAGATGGCGTCGATGTGGCAGTCATCCGTGCCCTCTGAGCACTCGTCCACGTCCACTGCCCCTGTGGAGGGGGGGGGGGCAACAGGTGAGATGTGGCCTGGGAAGCGGGAGGCAGGCAGAGCGGGGACCTCCGCCTGCCCCTGGCCTTCCATTCCTTATGGGGTAATTAACAACGATAGTAGGGTAGTAGTCACATGGGGCAGCTTCTCTGTGCCAGGCAGGATGCTACCAATATCCTTGGTCTCAATTATTTTCACAACAATCCCATTAAGCAGGATTAATATTCCCACTAAAAAAAGATGAGAAAATCCGAGGCTTAAGATCACAGGGAAGGGGCCTTGGTGGTGCAAGTGTTGAGTGCTTGCTGGAAAACGAAAAGTTGGTGATTTGAACCCACCCAGTAACTCCGCAGATAAACCAGAACCACCAAGCCCCTTGCTGTCGAGTCAGTTCAGACTCACAGCGACCCTACAGGACAAAGTAGAACTGCCCCATAGGGTTTCCAAGGAGTGGCTGGTGGATTTGAACTGCTGACTTTTTGGTAAGCAGCCGAGCTCTTAACCACTGCGCCACCAGAGCAGGATAAAAGAGCTGGCGATGTATTTCCATAAAGATTACAGCCAAGAAAACCCTATGGGGCAGTGCTACTTGGTTACACAGGTCGCTATGAGTCGGAATCAGCTTGACAGCCCTCAACGCCAACAAGGGTCGCAGGAAGGAAAAGCCAGCAATCTCTCTCGCTCTCTGTCTTGCTCTCCCGACAAGCATCACTCCAACCCTCCTCCACAGTCCTTATTCTAGAATTTAGAAACAGAAGGGTCCTTGGAGGAATTTAAATCCAGCCCCTTGGGGTTACAAATGGGGAAACTGAGGCTAGGCAGGAGCAGCGGGCAGAGGCCAAGCCAGGAAGCCCCTGCGGGTGACCTGAGATAGGACCCCCCCATGCCCTAGGCTGCGGAGGTGCAGGATTCTTAATCTGGTGTCGCACGCCCAGAGTGGAGCGTCCAGGGGTGGAACCATACCCTCAGCTGGCCTGACCCAGGCCCTGGGTGGGTCTGACCTCCCCTGCTCTCCTCCTTTGCCTCAGAAACCTAGGTGCAAACCTGATCTTCAAATCCCAGCTTCCAAGCTCAAGTTCAGTCCAGGCTTGGAGGGCTCTGGCACTCCTCATCTCCCATCTCCCAACACACATATACACCTTCAGGCTGGGACCGCTATTGGGGCCAGACAATGCAAAATGGTCTCTGTGCCATCTGTGCATACACCAAATGCACACACACGCGCACACACACACACACACACACACACACACACACACAGAGGCCAGACAGGGAGAGGAACCTCAGGGGCCCAGGACAGCACGGCCAGAACCTCAGTGTCAGACTGAACTGTGTCCCCCAAAAGTATGTGCCAACTTGGTTAGGCCATGATTCCCAGAATTGTGTGGTTGTCCCCCATTTTGTGATTGTAATTTTATGTTAAAGAGGATTAGGGTGTAATTGTAACATCCTTACTAAGGTCACATCCCTGATCCAATGCAAAGGGAGTTTCCCTGGGATGTGGCCTGCACCACCTTTTATCTTACAAGAGACAAAAGGGAAGTGAGCAGAGTTGGGGACCTCATACCACCAAGAAAGCAGCACCGGGAACAGAGTGTGTCCTTTGGACCCAGGGTCCCTGTGCCTGAGAAGCTCCTTGACCAGGGGAAGATTGATGACAAGGACCTTCCTCCAGAGCTGACAGAGAAAGCCTTCCCCTGGAGCTGATGCCCTGAATTTGGACTTGTAGCCTACTGGACTGTGAGAGAATAAATTTCTCTTTGTTAAAGCCACCCCCTTGTGGTATTTCTGTTACAGCAGCACTAGATGACTAAGACACTCAGCAAGAAGCCAAGTTAATGCCTTGGAAGACCAGGGAGGAGACTGAGGCCCAGAGAGGTCTTGTTGTGGGTGATAGCTCTTGAGGGGCAGTCTGGGCTCTGACACAGAGTAAGCAGGTCTGAGCTTTTCTATGGTACTTCCAGCTGGCTATACATAAAACACGGATGGACAGCAGACAGACAGAAGGACCCAGGAGGACTCCACTGGGGACACTCAGCAGTCACCCAGGGCAGCCACTCCAGCAGAAGCCGGAAATGGAGCCATCTTTTCACACCTCTGGTCTCGCCCTAGAGTGCCTGGTCCCCAAGAAGGTCCTTTCTGGATTACTTCCCTGGTGTCATGAATTCTAAATCTGGGTGGAGGGCCTTGCTAAGAACCTACCCCCCAGGACCCCTCCTTGCCTGCTCCAGCGCCCAAGGCTCCAGCCTGCCCCAGAAGGAAGAGAAGCACCAAAAGGAAACACGGAAGAAGCAACCTCCAGGCGTGCACACACATGCACACATATACACATGTGCCCACATACGTGTGCACGTGCACGCGGCAGGCTGAATTACTTTCCAGGGTAATTGTGTCTGCTCACATGGGCAGCCCACCCCCTACAGCTGTGGGTGCAGGAGACCAGAGCCGGCAATGGGGGTGGGGGAGGGGGAGACAACCACTGGCAGCAGTAACATGGGTGAGGACCTCTGGGAAAACGGCAGCAGAGGCCCCCAGCAGGGTGGCACTGTCTCAAGGGCAGAGGCCAGAGAGGGCCAGAGGGCATGCTTGTGCAGGGGCGACTGGGGCCACTTCTGAGACAGGGACCAGCAGGGACAGCAGGCCACGGACATGGCCCTTCCCACTTCCCAAGGGTCGGTGTGTGGGAATGAGAGGAGGGAAACTTCTGGAGCCTCCGATCCTCCCGCTCCCCAATCTCCCACCAGGTAGACGTCCTCGCGGGGACAGAAATGGAGGATGGAAGCTGATGGGGCAGGTGGGGGCACCTTCCAACACACCACATCAGCATGTCTTTGGGTGCTCTTAAAAACGTGAGGGGCTGGGGAGAGGGTGGGGCAGGAGGAGAGAGGTGCCCTAGGCCATGCGCCCCCTCTGGTTCGCTGACCTGGGCTGGGACTCCCTCCCCAACTAGCGGTTTGCTGGTGCTGGGGCTCGCGCTGCTGGGTTTCAGTCCCGGAAGGGGCTTCCAAGGGCAAGAGTTCAGGTCACACATGAGCTGGGCTTGGGGGACCCGGAGACAGACCCAGAGCGACACGAGAAAGGACAGAGAGGTAAAGAGAGACACACGCAGGAGCAGCCGTACAGGGATGCAGGTCCCCAAAGCCAGGGAGAGACGCCTCACAGGCATGGGGGACTGGGTGTGAGCAGCAGGGTCCACTTCCCTGGGGCTAGAGAAACAGCTCAGCTCCAACTGCGGAGTCTTTTAAATGGACTGGCACCCCGCTCTGGGCACGACTCTGAGGACGCAGACCCCTGATCCTACATACAGACCTCAGGGAGCCCAGTGCGCCAGCCAGGGAATGCCAAGAACAGAGCAGGGGCAGTCAGGGACCCCCAATTTCACACCACCCCAAAGTTGAGAAACGGAGGAAAGTCCTCCACAGACGTGGGGGGCGAGAACGTGACTTCAGCTTTGTCAGAGAGCCCCTTCCAGACCACCAGACAGCAGGAAGGGACAGGGCGGGAGGGCAGCGGGTATCGGTGGGACCTACTGGGGCACCCCCACCCCACGACGGCTGCCTGCCTGCCCTGTCGGATGCCTGTTCCCTCGTTCGTGTTTGCAGCCTCCCTCCCGGACCCCCTCTCCGATGTCCACATCTGTCTCCACTTTCTCTGTGTTCCCATCCAGTTCCTTCCCCGCGTCTGTCCGGCTTCTCTTCTGCCTTCCTCCCCCTCCTGTCTGACTGTCTGTCCATCAGATTCCCTCTGTGCCTAGATTTCCAGGCATCTCCATCCCTATCTGTCTGTCTCCCTCTCTCCTTCTTCCCCCTCCCCAGTCCTCCAGTCTCCTCTGGCTGTCGGTCTGTCTCCACTTCTCCTCTTCTCCCTTCCTTGGGTTAGCAATCCCTCCAGGCTCCCTCTTTTGATCTTCACCTTCTGGCTGTTCCCTTCGCCTCCTTCTCCCTCCCTGGGTTTCCTCCTCTCCCCCTGCGGCCTGTCTGGTCCCTTCTCTTCCCTTCCGTGTCTTTCTCTGGCTTTCTTTACGTGTCCTTTTGTCTGTTTCCCCTGTCCGTCTGTCCCTCCATCGACCACCTCCCCTCCCTTTTTCGAGGTCGGTCTTTTCTCCCTCGCTCCCTTCCTCCCCGGTTCCCCTCTCCCCTGGGGGCGCGCCCTTGTGGCTCTGGGTCCCCCGCCCTCGGTCCACACGCCGGGCCCCCTCGGTCAGCCGTCGCGCTTGCTTTCTTTCTTCCTCCCGCCGCACGCTCACCCTTCCCCAGGGCCCAGTCCACCCCCTGCTGCGGCCCCCGGGCACCGGGAGCTCCGGGCCGCCAGGCTGCGGGGAGGGGGCGCGGGCGGCTCCAGAAGTTACTTTGCAAAGAGGCGCGC